TCCTTGAAGGACTTTAGATTATGGCTGATATCAGCAACGGGAGCAAAACCCAACCATCAAACAAACAAGGCCCCGTCCTGGCCTTAACGGGTAGTTCTCAGAATAAACGTATACCTAATTTTTTTTATGTATTTACCTATGTTGCACGTATCTAATTAGGGTTGACGACATAGGCCACAAAACAACAGAGAGTTGTCACCAACAGGAAGCTCCCGAAATGCTATGGATCCTGAACATTCCTAAGCCCCAAAAGGTTGCTGTCAAGGAACTTGAGTTAAGTTATCATAACATGGGTATATATGGTTTAGGGTTCATGGCTTAAGTTACTGTAACCTGGGTCTATAGTAGAGAATAGGGTTTCCTTGTTATAGTAACTTAATTCAAGCTCTTTAACAGCAACCCGGTAAATCAGACTTTCCTGTGAGGTGTAGTAGTGGTCCACTGCCATCTCCTCCTGGATGACACAGCTTTCGGATTTGAGGGTTTTTGTGCCTCTCAGAAAAAGCCTTTGGCAGCCCCTAGCACCAAGAGATGTAAAGAACCACATGGGGAATGTAAGAAGTGCAGCTAAGGCTTGTGGCTCACATGTCAATGTGTCGGAGATGAAGGGCTTGGGCCAAGAATGACTCGGCAGTTGGGGATGCCTCATTGAGCTGAAACCGACGGAAACCTTTTTGTTGAACAAGAAGTAGTACAAACCTCTAATTTGCGGTCTCTTAAACATCAATGCCATCATGTCAGTCGTAAAGCACTAAACCCAAGGAGAGGCTTGTTTTCGGGTTAGGTGTGGCATTTTTGGGTTCGCATTAAGCGAAAAAAGGACGTGCCCAAAACTACCTGCTACAGCCAGCATGTTGAATCAAAAGTGCTCCTGTGCAAACGCCAAGTAGTAAAAATTGGTTTAGAGACCATCTTGGATCCTGAATCAAGAAGGCAATGGCTGATGTATATGCTAAGCCCCACGGAACCTAGGGCGACTAGATACTTTCTGACACCTGTGGTGCTCGCAACATCGCTGTTTGCTTCTCCTTGTATCCATGCCCTAGTCCTCAGGCCCTTTTGTAAAGAAATTCAATGCCACGATACACTAACTGGAATAAGGGAATATGAGTCATAATCTAAACTCCTTAAAGGGGGGTTATGTAGTGGATTCTGTAAAGGACTACGTAGGGGAGTATCATACAGCCTCATGTGGTGTGCCCAAACAGGATCACTTATGCGTCTTTGGTTCAGACGCAAACTGTCACATCCCAAAACATACACTCCAAAAAACACACATCCAAGACCACTCAAGCCACCCTAATCTCAATGTCCCACAGCCTAAGCCATCATTCCGGAACCCCAACCACGCAGCCCAAATCCCTGAACCCTAAACGCTAAACCCTAAAAGCGCAAAACCTCTCCTGGCTCTGCATGGCAAGAACAGCTTCTGCCGCGGCTTCAGGCTCCCGCAAAGCCTGACGAGGGTTTGGGGCTCAAGACTATGGGGTTATATTGAGGAAAATGAAAAAGAAAATGGAAACTACCACAATGTGGTTTTATGGGAATTATATTGGGGATAGGGGAAAACAAAATGGAAACTACTAGAATGTGATATAATAGGGTTATATAAGGATCATATAGTGTTTGAGGGTTCAAGGCTTAGGATGTAGGCGTCAAAGTTTCAGGTCTGTCCAGGGTGTATGATTACGGCTTTTTGAAGGCTAGCTGCTAGGGTTCGTCAACAGCCCGAAAAAACAATCCTCAACAGCCCTCAGCGGGTCCGAACAGCAGCAGGAATCCACATAACAGACACGCACGCTGTTCATGAAAGCCCGGCTTCAATACAAATTACCAGGACTCATTCACAAGGCCTGGCCGTACATGCCGTGCTGCACACCTGGGAATCCTTGCAGATACGACCTTCTAGGAAGGGACTACGAATCATTTTGGATCAGTCATAAAACCGGATGTAGGACTGTCCATAATGTCAAACCTTGCAGAATCATTACATCAGTCATCATACCAGCATATTAATCTGCAGCATGGCTTCCCACCCCAAGCAAAGCCGCAACAACTCCAGTTGTCCTGCTCACAACCCCACTCATGACTTCCCATGAACCTCCAAGTACGCCCTCTTGCATAAACCTCACGCGTAAACCCTCAACCCTAGACCCTAAACCCTAAACCCTGAACCCTGAACCCTACAGCCTAAACCCTCAACCCTAAACCCCAAACCCTCAACCCTGAACCCGGCCGGGGATCCTCCAACCCTCACCCTGAGTCGTGTGAAACTTCTAAATCAACGCCTGGCTCCAGCCACTGAATGTCGACCTGAGGAACCTTTCAAGAGATGAAGATTGACCCAACAAGAGTTGGTATAGGCCGAAAGGTAGAGTATGAAGGGTCTTGTACGGGTATCTAGGGGTAAAGTGGGGGTTATATAGGGAATGCAAAAAATGAAAACAAATACATCATTCAAGTTTTTTGTCGGAACATCATATAGGTTTAGGGCTTTGGCTTAAGAGTTTAGAGTTGCGGGTTGGGTGTATAAGCGAGGATTTAGGATTTAGGACCCTGCAAACACTTGAGTAATCTGCGGTCTCCTTCAGGAACGTGTAAGCTTGTGTCAGGGATTTGGGGTTCTGGGATTTGGCCCAAAGGTTTTGCTGCATTATTGGAGTGGTTTGATGGTAAATCAGGTGATCCTAACCCTAGACCCTAAACCCTAAACTCAAACCCGATACCGCGGATACCCTAAACTCTAAACTCGGTCGGGAATGTCAGTCCTTCTAGAGAATCTCGCTTAGCATAGAAGGATTTAGGATTCTGGCTTAGGATTAAACGTTGAGGATATGTTCAAGCTTCAGACTTGGATTCAAGTTCTTAGGAGCTAGGGCTTGTGGCAGGGGATTGGATGAAATCTCTTAGGATCTAGGACTTTAGACTAAGGGATTGGGCCACCAATCTCGAACAAAGTAACTAAGCAGGATTTCAACTTCGAGATTTTGGGAACGGATCAGTTCAAGCTTCATGTCAGGTACTGACAACGTGATGTTCTGCAGGAGAGGAAGTGATGCATGCTCATGCGAATTCTTTTGCACACTGCTAGAGAGGCGCCAGCCGAATATAGTGTGCCCTTGAAACACTACTTCCCAAAAAGGGGATTCATACTCGCCCAGACCCACAAAACTCAACAAGCACCAAGAGCATCGATTGCCCAGGAACCTTTGAAGAGACTCCTGATGCGTCGACAAAGCGGCCGTAGGCACGAAGAGGACCTGAACAAGGCCGTGCGTCACAGTGCCTCAAAGTTTACCGGACTCCGGGCGTGAATGTGAAGCTCAGGGCTACTAAATCTTTGGGTTGACGGATTCAGTCTGAAGAGTTCAAGGAGGTTTGAAAACGTATAGCATGTGCTTATGTGGGTGTGAAACATGAAGCATTAATGCTGGGAACCAGCGTCAGCTAAGACACCCTTCCAGGCTTTTCTGCACACTGGCCCCGTGGGAATCCCAAGATCCGATACACGATTGCCAAAAAAAAAGCCGCAAGACAACCAGCAAGAGAATCAAAACTCACCCGGGCCACTCTAAGGCCCAGACCCTATCGAATTTTCTTTGATGCTTGTAGAAACCCCAAAACACTCAGCCCTAAGCCCTAAACCCTGAACCCTGAGCCCTAAACCCCAAGTCTGAGCCTAAACCCTAAACCCTAGGTCCTAGGCCCTCACAGCGTTCCACTCCGCTCGCCTGCGAGTAGCCAAGGTCCACGCCCGGGAAGCTCTGGAGCGGAAGCACTTCCTAAGACGGTTTGGTTTAGGGTTCTGGTATTACTGCATAATGCTCTTGATCGTGATTTTCTGTCAATATTCCTAGCGGTATAAACCCTCAGCCCTAAACCCTAACAATAGTATCGTGATCTTTGTTACCATTATTTGAGGATGACACTATCTTGTCAGCTAGGTCTGGAGTTGGTCCTTATGAGCTCGAAAACATCAAATTCCATAATGCAAATACATATGGGGGTTTCCCAAAATTAGGCTTGAGGGTACCCTTTAAAGGGGGCTAGAGGGGTTATATGGGGATATACAGGGTCATATATGGTTTAGGGATTAGGGTTTCCCAAAATTAGGGGTACCTTTTTTGGGGGTCCCCATAATAAGGACTGTAGTATTTTGGGGTCTATATTGGGGTCTCCCTACTTGGGGAAACTACCATATGCACATACATGTAGCCATTTACAACTTGCCCTATGGTATATACATATGTTATCATATAAGCCATAATATAAACTCCTAGTATCCCTCTTAATCACCCGTATAATACTCCCCTACAAAATCCGCTATGACCCCTTTAAGGAGTTAAGATTTTAGTTCATATGCGCCTGTGTGCGCGTGTTTTTTAACGTGCGAAAGAGAAAAGGAAAAGTTCTGAAGTGAACCCAGTGTCAGGCTGGGCCTTCAACTCCTCGCGATTAAGGGTTGAGGGTTGAGGTTTCAGGGTTTGGGGTTTAGGGTTCGTTCTATCACTCTCTCTCTCCCTGCCCCCTTGGACTTTGATCCTGAGGAATATATGGGGAATTCAACAACGATAAAGACCTGTCTTTACCATCCAGAAGGGTTGTTTTGAGGTTAAGGATCTGGGTCTGGTTCTGTTTCGGCAAGATCCTACAGCTGAATTTGGACGCTGGGTGCGGTGCATGTGGGTCCTGTCTTCATGATGAAAGAGGGCATGCTTTCAGGAACTCTCCTAGAAACACAGTGGTATGAAATCTGACTGCACTGAATTGCATGGTCACATCCAATCCACCCCAAAGTTCAGCAAATTCGGGCCTGTCAAAAACTTTGAGATCACACACAGCCAACAAATTACCCTAAAACACCCGTGAAATGCTGCAATATCTTACATGTACCTGAGTCTTCTCTGTCTCACCTCTTCCCACACAAAACCCACCCCAAAAACAACAACGATGTTAGTCTCCTGGTTTCAAAAACGCCTTTTGACGACCCTATGTCCCTCCTGCTCGAGTCGTAGCGTTTCCATGACATCGTACGCCTGGACTGCATCCACACCCCCTTGCTTCAGCTCCGTGAGCTTTTGATCACGTGGAACGTCGAGGACGTCTGCTCCTTCAAAACAAGAAATCTACTTGCATGCGCGGGGACTTTTTCATAGTTGACTTAAAGGCTGTATATATCTCACCCAAGGTTGGCCATACAAGAATACTTGCTCAGGTTTCAATGGCACGAAACAGCCCTGAACACAAAACCCTAGGCTAGTGGACCCAACTCTACTCCTGGAAGGATTCGCTTCAAGAGGTCGACGGTGTCCGAATGCCTGGCTCGCCAGTGCGCACAGTTTAGCTCTCAAGGTTTGGATCATGGCCTCCTTCTGGAGCGACTGGGAAAATTCTGTCACGTTCTTTGATTCGTGCAGAGGTTTAGGGAGGAGGGTTTCTCCAAAGCATGGGTCACTACCACCAGGACCCAGATATCCAACGTTGTGCGTAGACCAATACCTAATGCCTCGAATCTTGGTACCTGTATTTGGTTACATACCCGGGCCAAAACACCCGTCATAGGTCAGAAACCCTTCCCAAGTTTGCATGCTTCCAGTCTTACAATTGCGGCGTTTGGGGCTTTGGGCTGCTGGACAAGAAATTGGATTCGAGGTCCAAGGCTTGGGTTCGGGGTTTCAGATGAGCCATAATCTAAACTCCTTGTGTCCCCCTGAATAACCCTTTAATATCCCCCTATAGAGTCCTCAAAGAGTCTAGACTGTAGCTCAGTTGCGCGGTGTTTGTTGTTAGGCGCTTGGTTTGACCTGAGGCCGCCAAGCTTGGTTTCCGGGGCACTTCCCAAACCCCCTGACCACCCTAAACCCCTAAACCCTAAACCCCCAAACCCCTAAACCCTAAACCCCAGGTAACCTAATGCCTAAGCGTTTACCCAAAACTTGAACTTGAGGCCTCAAAATCTGACCCTAACTCCCAAGTTCCTAGGAAGAAAGACCCAACCCTGGGGAATAGATTAATTGAAGAAGTAGAAGAACAAAACAGATTTAAAAATGCAACAACCCTACGCACTAGGCTTGCAACCATAATATCGATCGTAGCTTGCAGTGTCCGGAAGACTCGTAATCTAGGGGCCTAAATGATTGGAATAATGCTGTTACACGGGCACAGTGGACAAGGAGGATGAGGGGATAGTACTCCTAGTTGCTAGGTTTTACTTTAATTCAATCTGGCAGGCTTCCACACCCTTAACCGCTTGAAGGAAAGTGGCGCTGCGATTCGCAGGCCATTGCCATGAGGGTTCCCGTGAAGCTTGCTCTTCAGGCCTAGCGAGGTTCAGAGCTATTCGTTCAGGGTCTTGGCTGAGGGTTAATACAGCTTAGGATTTCGTTCTCGGAGCTTAAGATGTGTAAGGCTTAGGCTTTATAAGGTTTAGGACTCAGAATCAAGGGTTTATTTTAGGCTTTACTTCCTGGCGGAGGAATGGAACCCTTTGGTAACCCCGAAGCCCTACAAGAATCGCTGCAAGCCACTCCTCAATTCGCTCCAAAGCACCAGAAAACTTAGCATTCAGCGTTTACGCTTTGCTTGAGAAATTGAAGCCAACTGCGGCGTGCTATACAGGACGAAAGGTATACTTGGAGGGTCAGGGGGACTTAGTAAGTATATTAATAATGGGGATAATTAGGGTTACTATATGGGTTATAGGGGTTATTAACCTACTTACTAAGTCCCCCTGACCCTCCAAGTAGAGTTTGGGCTATAAATTTGTTGTTTGGGATTTGGCATCTGATGGGTCACCTCTACTTCACTTAGAGCTATGCATGAGCCTCCAAGTGATGCTAAACACCAAACCCTCATCCCGAAATCCTAAATACGAATCCCTAAACCCTAACCCCAAAACCCTGAACCCTAACACCAAAACCCTGAACCCTGAACCCTAACCCCCAAACCCTGAACCCCAACCTAAACCCTTTAGGCAGACCCTTTGAACCCCAAGAGCCAGAGCTTCGGCCAAGCATCCGACAGAGGGCAGGGCGGCCAAACACAATGGGGACCGCCCAAACATCGCCTTGACTATACACAAGGTTGGTCCCCTTAAAGGGTTTAAAAGCAGGTCTCTATGAAGAAGTTAGTTCTAGGGATAAAAGGGTTGCAGTTTGGAGACTAGAGTTTAGCGCTTCCATCGTTGAGGTATTGAGGTATCACGAAACATGATGATCTACCTGCACTGAGAATATAGACAAGCATAGAAACTATCAGTGAGTAAAGCCCCAAAAAATGTTCGCTTGTCGACTCAGGGTTGAGTTATTCTATGGCCAGAAACCCTAGACTCTCAACCCTTTACACCCTAAAGGTTTCGGGGACTCTGATTTGGGATTTTGAATGCCGTGTAAAGGGTTCAGGGTTCTGGCCTGATCCTCCGCAGAGATGCAAACCCCAAAACCGGGACCGCATACTTATACTCCTATACCACCTAAACCCTAAACCCCAAACCCCAAATGTCATGGCCTAAACCCCGAAACCTAAGCCCTGTATCTATACACCGATGCTTAACATAATTGTGCAAGCACATCTGGATCTATTCAACGCAGCCAGAAGAACAACCCTGAACCCTATAGCTTTATACTGCAAATTAAATCCGAACGCTGAACTTGACAGCTCAGTCTCTGCAACTGCCTTTACGTCATGGCCACCTGCTGTGCCAAGGGCAGCTGGCAAAAGGGTGTTCTGCTCCATACCTGAAGATGACAGTACGGCTCGAAAAAATACCAGCAGATTCTTAACACGGCTGCGGAGGAAACCAAGAAGAAGAAGAAGAAGCTGTTATCAACCCTCTTGCCGTTGCTGCAACAGTAGCAGTGGTAGTAGTTGCAAAGGCAATGCACAGCAGCAGAAGCAGCAGCAAAAGTATTATTAGCCGAAATAGGAAATCCAAATAGCCTCAGCTGACACGCTGCCGCCACAGTAGCAGCAGCAGCAGCAGCAGCAGCAGCAGCAAAAGCATCAGTAGCAACAACAGCAGCAGCTGCAGCCGTAGCAGTACATAGGTACTAGTGGTAGCCGTAGCTGCAGGAATAGTGGGAGGGAAGGAGCAGTAGCAGCAACACTAGAAGTAGCCGAATAAACGTTGTTGTAGCAACATTATAGCAGAAGAAAAGGAAGGAAACTTGTGAAGTCACAACTCTCCAGCAGCAGCTGGCTACGAACGCAAAAGACTTTTGACCAAACCTACCAGGGATGACATTTTGAGCAGTTTACTTCAACCTGCAAACTAATGGAAAGTCTTACGAATGTCGTTCCGGGAACTGCCGACATGCAGTTGCGAGGCATCCTTGGTCATGCCAAGTAAGGCAACCATTGACATTCCAAGTACTTAAACCCTAAAACCCCTAAACCCTCTGAACGGCACACATCTCAAGATATCCCCCAAAGCTCCAGCCTGAATCCGTGATCGCAGAACCTGATGCCAGCCCCTGAAGCCCAAAAACCCACGGGCTTAGGGTTTGGGGTTTAATGAGGGTTTAAAGTTACCAAAGCCCCTACAGGCCCCTGCGAGAAATCTGAAATCTTCAATCCTGAGATGTCATCCGCCCAAACCCTGACATGTTGAATGAAATTAGCGGCAGGCTAAACATCCTCCAAGAGTTCCCTGCATGCTCCAACCCAGTTAGCAGAACAGAAAAGAAGATTGCTTAACCGAAACCTCAAGATTCACATCTAAAAACTGGCCGGAAGTTAAAATCTCATACACCGTAACCCATGAAGGGGAGTCTCAAACAATGACGCTTCAGCTAAAGTCGCCGATACGGTTTTGTGGTATCCAAGAGCCCTCAAGTTCTGGACAATGGCAACCATGTCCTTTATAGAGAAGTCGTGTCGAAGATTGTGTTCTTTGCAAGGTCTATTTTCTTACCCTGAAAGAATCATGCGATGATAAGGTCCTAGTTATACGGGCTGGGACTACCTTAAACTCATTGACTATGCTCGGATGCATCCTTGCACCCCGCCCCTTCAATTCTAACTTAAGCCCTCACCCCCCAATTAGACCTGCAAACCACTAACCCCTCCAAACCTTAAACCCTAAACCCTAACCCCTCCAAAACCTTAAACCTTGAACCCTAAACTCCGTAACCCCTCAAAACCTGAACCCCTAAACCCTAAACCCTACCCCCAACCTTAAACCGTAAACCCTAAACCCCTCAAAACCTTGAAAAAAAACCCACAGAGGCCGTCCAGCATCTTTTGAGAACCCTCCGCAGACTACAGCAGCTTCATCTCCTGGGGGGCAGCTGGGAAGCCTCAGCGCAACTTTCAAAACTTGGAAAAGGGTGTGGGAGGGTTTAGGATTTAGGGGTTAGGGTTTACGGGCTGAGGGCTTAGGGGCTTAGGGTTTAGGGGCTTAGGGTTTAGGGGCTGAGGTTTTAGGGTTTGGGGTCTAAGAGTTCAGGGCAATAGCTGGACCCCTGAAAAGAGATGATGGGGGAAGTCTATGTTATTGGGTGTAGGATTGTCAGGGTTGATAGGGGAAGTTGATGTTATAGGGTTTGGGTAGTTTTCGTGGCGTGATAGAGGAAGTTTGTTTGAAGGGTTTAGGGGTTTAGGGTTCAGGCTTGTGGTTCCAGCAGTTCAAGCCCCTACAACTGGCATTGGGATTTGAAATCCTTCTCCGGGGTCTGTTGATGTTTGTTGTACTTGTAGGGTTTGGGGTTTGGGGCCGGTTCCAGCTGTAAAGCTTGAGGCTAGGCGTAGGCTCATGATCCTCCTGCCATAAGTGGAGTATGAAATGGAGCAACAACACCTGGACTCAATTTGATGCTGTGTATTTATGGATGACTTTAAGGCGTCCGGTTCTAGGTTTGGGGTTTTAAGGTAAGGTCTAGGGAATGTGTAAACTTTAGAACCATGAGTTTTGGCCTGATTCGAGTTGAACCTGCGGCCTTCACAACTTCCTATACTCGCCGTTGATCAGTGCATGCTTCTTCAGACGTTTTTGGTCTGATATTGGCGCATCTCTCAAAAAGGGTTCCACGTCAGCACAGTTCGACATGGGATCCTTCTTCTAACCCTCCCAAATGCCCAAAGAAGCCCTGGACAAAAAGGACAAGGAGGCGACCACCAAAAACAATAGTGCCTTTTCTCGGGAAACCGGGCAAAGTCTCCCGACACCCCATCAGGATCTGATTGACTAATGGCTCTATGAAAATGATATTAATTATGCGTTAATCTTTTGATGAAATCGGTCAGCATATTATGTACCAACACATGTCTATGAGATACCACGAGACAATACAGAATTATAACATGGCTCTTAAGCCCTAACCCTTAATACCTAAACTAACCCGGGATATCAGACCCAGCAGCAAGTTCACCTTCAGCCCAGCTTTCTCGTAGATGCCGCGGCGACATGCTAAGGCGATGCCAGCAAACTGGGCAGACATGTAGTAGTCCAACTGCACGGCGATGTGGCCTAGGTAGTCTTCAGATCAAAGTTCTACAGCTGACGCCAAGCGGTGTAGCTTCTAGGATTTAGATAGGGAAACTAACATGACACCCCCACATAGGATCCACGTACAAGGACAGTAGTCCCTGCAGGCCCACTTGTCATGTACCATGTTAGTATGGGGAGCTTCTGATATGAAAGAAACCTCCTTCTCCCTCAGCCCCAAAGATTGAAAACTACCACTTGCAGACCTGGCGGCGCAGCGAACGTGACATTTTGCTGCACACCTGAGATCATGGTTCCCCTTGCAACCCTTGAAAAAAAAACGCATCAAACAAATAGTGGTCTGTGCAGAACATTTGCTTGTCCATGGTCCTCGCTGACATGGTTTGGGCAGAGCTTGCCCTCAGTTTGGTCCGTGGTGGGGGCCGTGATCCACTGCTTTGAGATTTTGCGTCACATCACGTACAACTCCCTAAGAAACTTTAAACACACTCCATAACCAATCGTCTTCAAGATGGAGGCCTGCTGAGAAAAAAAACTGAATACTTGAAACACTGAGTGAAAACCTCGCATGATTCGCAATACAAGAACTTGACCATAATCGTGATCATAAAATCACCTAGAATCCGGAGGTACCGTCCAAGAACCGCACAGCGGAAGATACAAGAGGACAAGACACTCTTATTCCGAAGGGTGCTGGACTTGCGTATGCAAAACGCCAATTGGACAAGGCACCCAAGACAAAATGTCACCAAAGTTCTTGGGGGGAACTGTGGCCACGGTGGGCCACAGACTACATCAGCTTCTCAGCAGCTTGAGCCCAGTCAGATTTGAACGTGACACTTGTTAATCAGTGGCTGTATCTTGCAATGGTGGTCACTTTGCCCAGTTTGCCGACTTTTGCTGACGAGGCAAGTTTAAGTGAATCTTCTCATGGGAAGGCTGCTGAGCCCTTCCTGCGCTTCTTTTCATTCGAAGCAACCCAGCAATCTCACACTTCTGCTTCCGGGCGTGCATCCCGTGAGCTGCTACCCATGAACTTATTAATGGCACTCTTTGTTGTGGCATTGCATCTGGATACGGCCTCTTCTACAAGACCTCTTGTGCTGTCTTGACAGTGGGGGGAGCCAGCAAACTGTGCACAACTTCAGCATGGCAATATTTGGCGGCCATGCTCAGGATGGTTTTTCCTTTCCTGTACAGATGGTTGGGATCTGCCTTTGCATGCAGAAGCAGATTTGCCGCGCCTTTGAGGAAACCTTCATCACTCTGAGACCTCATCGCAGCGATGAAAGGCACGGTGGCGTCTTTGGGGGCAGCACCCGCCCCCAGCGCTATTTTCAGCACATCCAGGTCGCGATTACGCAAGGCCACGCCCGCCAACCAGCCTAGGCCCCCAAAGCTTGCACATCCTTTCATCTGCAGAAGCTAGATTAGGCTGAAATGAAGCATGTGCAAAAAAAGCCACACAGAGTACCTGGCCTCTGTAGTCACAATCTGAGGTTTCGAGCACAGCACCATAGTCTGTGAGGAGCGTCATGAGTTTGAACATTTCATCCCTGCCCGGATGGTTGCCAAAGTTGCCAGCCAGCAACGATGCCAAAGGTGTGGTTCCCGTGGATTCATTCTTGCAGCGTAAGCTTCGTTCCTGATAAGCTGAAATCTGCTGCACGCTTACAACAAAAACGTACCTTTCGAATATCCAAATAAACACCTTTTACATGCTGAGACGCGGTGAAATATCTTCGATGAGCAGCCAAGTTTACCTGTGCACCTGGTAGTAGCAGGCATCGTGCTTCCCACTTCCGAGTTAGGGTGAGGAGGAGCACTGCAGTACCCTGCGAGTAAAAGTAAATGAACAGAAAAGATTCGAACAAGCAGTACGGTTTTCCACTTGTACGATGGCCGTGTCTATGGTTTGGATTGCAATGCGTCTACTTCGGCACGAACTGTGTCTCAACTACCAAATGCGCCTCCCTGAAGCAAGAGCTCCACAACGTCGTAGTGACAACCATGAGTGGCCATCATCAACGCCGTTACCCCTCGGTTGTCCTGCTTGTCCACCTGGCAAGCCCGAACTATCTTTGGAGCCATCCCTTTGGGTGCAAAGGCTGCGCAACCCCAGCTCAAGAAACCCTGCAGCTTACACGGAGGAACCTCGCAAAAGTCCCCAAACAACACCTTGGGCGTGAGGGGATGATGCACTGATCAGGTTGTTCCTCCATTGGTGCAACAAGCACACTGACAAGAAAAAATCTGCAGTATCCCTACTTTTTGAAGCCTGGCTGTAGAGGATCTTTGTCTTTTCCTGAAGGGTCTATCAACATTATGTTCATGTCAGAAATTCCTTAGGGTTTGTCGCCCAACGATTTTGCGCTTGGGTTTGGGGAAGCTGGTAGCGGCCTGCACACCCTCGGCTTTCAGAATCAGGCGTGTGGCTACGAGGTCGCCTGCTGCCGCCGACACAATCGAATCGAATGGAAACAAAGAAAAAGTCAACATAGCGGGGAACCAACAATCTTCACGAGCCCAAGCCATGGCAAGCTCGGCAATCTCAAACACGTCTCGCTTTGAGCAATTGAAAGTGCAAGAGCCGAAGCTTTGCTTGCACAAGTGGAAATTGCATTCCGATCATCAGACGATGCGTGCTCCACACTACATCTACCATCAGGTCAAACCGTTGAAAGATGATTTCTCAAACGCTGGGGGTCCCCACATCCGAGGCAGCCGTCTGAGCCGACTTACACGCCATTCGCCAGGGTCTTTCCCAGGAAATTTTTCAAACGCGGAGAAACGTGTTTTTCACGGCCAAG